AAAAAAACGGTGATACCTGCAAGAAAAAAGAAGACGGCAGGCAGCTAGGAGAGCATGTAGGTAACTGACGAGCCATTGGCTGATTATAGTACATGGATCTGATTAGTGATACTTTGATTTACCCCCAAACAAAATATAACAGCAACATGAGTATGCTCAGTCTCTACTCTTCTTCATTTCAGTTTTGCTCACAGAAAACAATGTTGAAGCATAGGAAGATCACCACAGCCACAAATTTTCTGGAGCCCAATTGGCAACACTCAAGCGTGCAATGGCTGAGATACAACTTGCAGGGTAAGAAGCTCTCAAGCCTTTCACACGAGCTCTCATCTTGACCATTGGCTCATATCATTTGCAGATTATTGAGAAGATCATGGAGAAAAAAACCCTTTCTTTTCATCCCTTCTCACGGCGGGTGAGCATATCCAGCGCGGTGGGATATCATGACTAAACTTCTTTGCAATCATTGTGGGGCAAAGACTGTGTAAATGGGTTGGACCTATGGGAGTAAGTGACGAGGGATGTCCAATGTTGAAAAAGGATGGGCTACGGTGACCACTCGCTGCCCCGAATATTCGACCGATACGATGATTCATCCATCAGTCGACATCAGGTGCGAGGGAATCGGTCTCCGTGTTATAACTTATCAGTCAAAAGTCCTTTAGTCTTACAGACGTCGTCGGTTTGTAATTTCACGACAGACGAGCACCGGCAGGCTGGATACCGAATCGATACAGAGGGCAATCTGCGCAAGTGTTCGGGTTTTAACGGCAAAGACCTCAACTTCAAGATATGTCCTCACCTGTTCGGCGCGACATAGCGATAGAGGAAGACAGGATTCATCAGTGTCGTTCAAGCGCACGACGAGATCAACTGGCTCCTTCTGTTTGGTGTGTTATGCTTCTTTCACTGAACCGACCGAAATCAGCTTCTGGACCTCCTGGAACGCAACCCGCCGCTACGAGGGTCATGATGATCGTCATCAGACAGCGGCTGGTATCATCGTCGAGGTCATAGTACCACCTCGACTGTCAGGGTGCAACTTGCTAGAAACATTACGTCTCGCACTTTCGCATAAAAAGTACTCTAAAAAAGTTATAAAAGGCCAAGGTGAAAGTCCATTTCCAAACTTCATCCCTTGTCCTATTATTCTGTTTATAACAACCAAAAGGTGAAACAGACTGTATATATTTGTATATATAAATCATTTAAGTTCTTAAATATGCTTTCAGGCCTACTCAAACTACTACCAACTATCCTTCTACTCTCGAAGGCTTATGCAGAGAAGGATAGCACTAACAATTGTGCGAATGGGAAGCTCGATTACAAGAAATACCTCGGAACTTCATTGGATGAACCCCAAATGAAGAAGGAGCCAAGGTATGAACCCACAGCTGCAGCAAACTTCCAGGAATTAACGATTGGTAATGGTACGTTTTCAATCCTTCCGATGTAGTCGAGTAAGTAGTAGTCTTACGTCTAACTCCTCACGATCATAGCCTTGAAGTGGGATACCTTACAGCCAAGTGCTGGGAAATTCAACTTTGGGCCAGCGTGAGTTGACGAATCTTTGGCATAGCTTGTGAATTTTTTGACAGGATACTGAGAAGTCTTCTTCCTTCTGATTCCCTTTGAAAAGTGATTACGTCCTGGAGTTTGCCAAAAAGCATTGCATGAAAGTCAGAGGTCATACAATTGTCTGGTGGGTTCCATCAGGTCAAGTTATATAAAAAATCTCGTCGAAATGCTTATGTATCTTCACCTGTGGTGCATCCTTCGACTTCCTCTCACCTTTCAAATTAACAGGCATAGGCAAGCACCAGATTATCTGAAAAGTCTAGACAAGAAGGCTTTGACGGAGGCTCTTGAAACGCACACGAAAAAGTTTATGGAGCGCTATGGTGACAAGATAGTTACCCTGGACGTATGTAACGAAGTATTTGAGGACTCTGGGGAATCTGGAGAGTTCCGAAAAGACAGCCTGTGGTACAAAGCCCTAGGAGAAGACTACATCGAGTTAGCTTTCCAATTTGCTCGAAAAGCTAATCCCAAGGTCAAGCTATATAGTAGGTCACATTCGTGTTTAGTGAAGATACCCACGATGAAAGAATCCTAACTTTATAATCTACCTGAACAGTAAATGATTTCAGTGTTGAAGGTAAAAATAAGAAGTCCGATGCTTTATACAACTTGGCAAAGAAATTAAAGAGTAAGAAATTACTTGATGGGGTCGGATTCCAAGCTCATTTCATTGTCGGACAGGTTCCTAATGGTAAGCAGAAAACCAAGGCTTATGTTGAAAACTGTCTTGAAGTGAGTTGACCATTAAAACTGCACGATTTAACAGACATGCAACAAAATCTCAAGAGATTTGGCGACTTGGGTAAGCACAGAGCTACCCTTCCGTACTCTTTTAGCCTTTGCTAATATTTTTGTACGGGACATTTCATCCTTTGGTTTAAAGGTTTGGAAACAACTATTAGTGAACTCGATATCAGAATGAAGGTACCACCCTCAGAGGCAGATATGAAACAACAGGTGGAAGACTATGTCAAAGTAGTCAAAATCTGCAAAGCGCTCAAATCGTGTCCAGGGATAATTGTATGGGGTGTTGCCTACCCGGATTCATGGATCCCACAAGAATTCTCCGGTAAGTTTCTTTTAGAGGGAGAGTACCAGTATTGGTTCTATCAAAACGCTTTCAATTTAATTTAGACACAATAACTGACTTCATTTGATATGCTACTTTGTTTATATATCCCATTGGGTGATCAGGATACGGAAACGCACTGTTGTTTGATAACGATTACAAGCCAACGAAAGCCTTCAAGCTGTTCGACAAGAACTTGATTCAGGAAAGAATAGAGACGACACCCAAAAAGAAACCAATGTTTAGAGGACTGACTCACTCTTGTATTTAAAGTTGATATGGAGAAAAACGTATCAAACTGACTGTTTATGTAAGAATATATTTATGAAAATTGACATTTATCCAAGGTTTTAAATTCAACTTCCACAAGCCAGTTTGGTTCAATCAAATCGGTCCTCAAGTTTTTTGCAATGGAATCCAAAAGTTGACCTCACCACGAGAACGAAAAGACATCTGCTCTGTTCGACCAGATTTTCGAGGTCCAGTTAATCATGAATGACTGATGATAAATTCCCTGAGAAATTTTGGATAACTCCAATGGTATTTCAATCAACAGGTTTCCAGTGTGCAACTGCATGGATGTGATATGGACAATTACCCGTAGACATCGAGATATTGAAAAAGTACCATTTCCAATTGTTACGGCCCTGAACTTTTTTGCAGGAGTAGTAAGGTCTTCAAGCTGAACTTTTCATGACACTTTAAAGTCATTTTTGTGGCCGTGCGAGACGTGATGTTTCTAGGACATTGAACACTGTTGATTAAGCTAGTACCATGACCTCTACAATCATACCAGCGTGATGAAAGTTGTTATGAACTTGGTCGTGGCAGGCTTCCTTACCAAGAGATTTTCACTCGAACTTACGAGTAGCATACCGGCTCATTGGAAGAGGGGATGAGACACGAAGAAAAATGATTCAGTTGGTTGTGTGGGAAAAATTGTTATACACTCAAACCTCTCAAGGCTTATATCGACCATACCCATAGGGTTTTTGATCACCTGAACTGAGCAGCACACAATTATACAAATTGTAGGAATCGTAGGAATAGAAATTGGGTACATATTCATATGCAGAATTGCAATACTTGAAAAGGACACATCCTACGTGAAGAAACATTAGGGGTACACAAACATCTCAACCCGACCTTAAAAACCCATCCAAAAAACCCGTGCCAACCCGATTGATTTTGAGTTTTTGGCGCTAAAAAATCCAAAAATCAATCGGGTTGCCATGGGTTTTATTAGGTCGGGTTGAGATGTTTGTGTACCCCTATTCTTCACGACCAGTTCAGAGACTTAGGGCCCGTTCGGTTCCTTTTCGTGAAATATGTGACCTGAAAACGAAATTTCGTTTTGCCCCTATATGAAGGGGCAGATAGAGATATTCGTAAATCGGATATCGAGATTACCGAACAGCGATCCAAACGGAGGTCAACAGACGTCTGTTGACCTCCGTTGATCATATCGCTGTTCGGTAACGATAATGATGAAATACAATCTGATCGATTGTCTTCCCCAAAAAGAATCGAACGGTCATTAAAGACCATTCTTATCGTTCTTCTCGTTCACCTACAAACGAGCTTCATAAAAAAACCAAAACAGTCATTAAAGACCTTCATCTTCGCTCTTGTTCTTTCACCTACATCGAGCTTTATAAAATAATCGAAACGGTCATTAAAGACCATTTTCGTCTTGTTCTTTCACCTACAACTATTTTCATCGTGATTGATTTGCGATGTCCTCATACCGCAGGACTTCAAGTCAAATTGAGCACCGTCCTCGATCTGTTTCGAGAGCTCTCATGGTGAATCATCAATCCCAAACCCACAAATTATTACAATTACATTTCATTAAAAAGGTTCTTGCTACTCAAGAACGCCATTTTGCCATGTTCTCATATCTGAGCATTGGCACTCAGATCTGTATTCAACAGTTGCTTCCACAACTTTACAAAACACCACGCCTCACTTCCATGCTCAGTGGACAAGCTTGGATTGATGAGCTTATTAATCATCCCAACCAATCAGTTTTCTACGAGAATCTTGGCATGCAAAAGCATGTATTCTTTGAACTACGCTCAGTTCTCCAAGATGCTGGAATCCTAGTAGACTCACGTTTTATTACGGTGACTGAGAAATTAGCTCTCTTACTCTATACTCTCATAACCGGTCTCTC